CAGCCGGTCACCATCCGGGAGATTGTGGGTGGGTGACCCAGCCCTCGTAGAACCCAAGTCAGTGACATCCCATCTGCCCTTGCTGGGTGGTCACCAGGGCCTCCCCCAGACAATCTCACCCATTCTGTCCTTCAAATGTCCCCTGGGCCGTGCGCTGAGCCCCCACCTGGGTCTTACCCTCAGAGCAACCCAAGATCCGCCTCCCGCGCCACCTGCGCCAGACGTACATCCGCAAAGTGGGCGAGCACCTCAACCTCGTCATCCCCTTCCAGGTGCCCGGGCTGGGGCGGGACGGGCGGCTGCGGTGGCCCCACGGTGCTGCAGGCCCCTGACCCGCTGGCCCGCTCCCCCAGGGCAAGCCCCGGCCCCAGGTGGTGTGGACCAAGGGCGGAGCCCCCATCGACACCTCGCGCGTGCACGTGCGGACCAGCGACTTCGACACGGTGTTCTTCGTGCGCCAGGCGGCCCGCTCCGACTCCGGGGAGTACGAGTTGACCGTGCAGATTGAGAACATGAAGGACACTGCCACCATCCGCATCCGGGTCGTGGGTGCGCAGCGGGTGGGGGTGGGGCGGGGGGACGTGATCCAGGAGGGGAAGGGCGGAGGGGGCAGGAGGGGAGGCGTGAGGGGCGGAGGACGAGTGGGAGGAGGTGAGAGGGAGGAGGTTTGGGGCACCAGAATGGGTGGGCGTCTAAGCGGAGAGGACTGAGGGGCCGTGTGGACAGCGGCCATGGGGCCTCCTTCCAGAGAAAGCAGGGCCCCCGGAGAACGTGCAGGTGAAGGAGGTGTGGGGCACCAACGCGCTGGTGGAGTGGCAGCCCCCCAAGGACAACGGGAACAGCGAGATCACCGGCTACTTCGTCCAGAAAGCAGACAAGAAAACCATGGTGAGAGGACGCAGGGCCTCGAGAGCGGAGCCCAGGGTCCCATTCACCGGGGAAGGAGGCGAGAGTGGGGGGGGGGCGGGGGGCAGGGGCTGGGGGGGCCCTCGAGGCTGAGGCTTGATGCAGCTCTTTTTGGATTGAGATAGACTTCACAGAACAGAATTAGGCAGTAACCATTTTACTGACTGGTCCTTTGTGGTGCTGGGGATGGAACCCAGAGACCCCCACCCCTGCCAGGCGAGGGCTGTTCCACCAAGCCATACCCCAGGCCCCAGAGTTCCAGGAGCCCCCGGGGGCTTCTAGCACATTTCCAAGGCCTGCAGCCACCACCTCCATCTAGTGTGAAGGCATCTCATCACTCCAAAAGGAGACCCGTCCCCATTGGCAGCCCCCACTTCACCCACCAGTCCCCAGAGGCTGCCCACGTGCTGTCTCAATGGACTCATCTGCTCTGGACATTTCACATGAGTGGAATCAACTTGGGGCTTCAGTAGTCTGGTTTCTTCACTGAGCTCAGTGTCTTCAGAGTTCACCCTGGTGGCCCTCGTCACTGTTTCTCTCCTTTTTAGGGCTGAATAATATTCCAATATATGAGGGTTGTCATTTTGCTAATGTCTCCCTTGATGGCCATGGTGAATAGCGCTGTTGTCAATGACAGGTCTTCTCAACTCTCCCTGACCCTCCTGTGTCTGTGTCCACTTGTGTATGTTCCCATGTCCCCTGTCCCCACACTAGGAGTGGTTCAACGTCTATGAGCACAACCGCCACACCAGCTGCACTGTGTCTGACCTCATCGTGGGCAATGAGTACTACTTCCGCGTTTTCAGTGAGAACATCTGTGGCCTCAGTGACTCACCTGGGGTCTCTAAGAACACGGCCTGCATCCTCAAGACAGGTGCTGCCACCCTCTCATGGGGCCCCGTTACCCCTGGGGTTCCAAGGGAGGGCACCTGGCCACAAGGTGGAGATGGCCAAGTCTGTTCCCTGGCCGGGGCTGGGACCGTCTAGATGGGCCATCTTACTGGCATCTCTCTCACCAGGAATCACCTTCAAACCCCTCGAGTACAAGGAACATGACTTCCGGACGCCTCCCATGTTCCTCACACCTCTAATCGACCGGGTGGTTGTGGCTGGATACTCCGCGGCTCTCAACTGTGCTGTCAGAGGCCACCCGAAGGTGTGGGGGCAGGCTGGCCTGCAGGTGCCCCTGTGTGGGCCCCGCGGGGACTCTCCCCACAGCCCAGGCCCATCCACAGCTCTTCCTGTGGGAATCACTCCCTGTGACCCACTTCCTGTTCCCCTCCTCTGGCCAAAGCCCAAGTCAGACAGTCATCTCCCTGCCTCTTCTCTGCTGTGTGACCTCCAGGGGGCAGCTTGTCTTGGCAGCCTGAGGAGAGGCCACTTGGTCTCTTGTCCTGCTCAAGGACACACATCGGTGCCTTGGACACAGAAACCTGGTGGGGGGTCTAAATCTGCAAGGAACCCCCAGGGCTTCCCGCTGCTCTTTGGGAAATATGGACACCTGCAGCCCTGAGCTCCAGGAAGCCGTGCAGACCCGGGGCTGGCCGACTCCAGCTCAGGGGCCAAGGCTGACTGCTGCCTGTTTCTCCCAATTAAGTTTTATCGGCACGTGGGCCACATACATTCGTTTGTATTTTGCACCACAGCAGCAGAGCTGAGCAGTTGTGACAGAGACCTTGGGGGCACAAAGCCTGACATAGTTATGATCTGGCCCTTCACAGGGAGGCATTCGTCAGCCCCCCTCCAGTCACTCCCTCCGTCGTCCCCTCCCCTGCTTCCACCCCCGCGGCTCAGCCCTTTCTGCCAGGAGCTGACACGATGCCTCCATTCGCTCCATTTAGTCTTTCAAGGCTTTTTATGTGCTAGACAAATAGGACAAGAAGTTCCTGTCCAAGAAGTTTGGGACCAACGATCAACTGAGGGTTGATCCAAAATCACCCAAATAATGTAAAACTACAAAGGGTGACAAGAAATGCAGGCAGTTCTGAGAGAGTAGTGTCCCTGTCCCAGGGCAGGGGTCAGGAAGTGACATGAGCAATGGAGTGAAGGACAAGCAGGTGCTAACCAGAGACGAGAGGAGGAGGGACAGTATTGAAGAGGGAATGTCAGTGCGGAGGCCCGATGGAGCACATCTGGTCATTTCGGGAACAGCACCCAGCCAGCGCCTGGAGGGTGGGGGCAGAGAGTAATGGGGTCAAGTCACGTCAGGCTGTGGGCTGCTATGCTGAGGACAGTGGGAAGCCCTCACCACTACCTGTGCAGTGGGGTACAGAAAAGGAGACTGAGGGTCAGAGAATGGAAGTTCAAGGAAACTGACAAGGAGGTGGCCCAGCAGGATTAGAAACCAAACCTGCCTCCTGAGCCCGCCTACCATGGCCCAGGGCACACCCTGAGTTGGCCTCTTCTCCCTCCTCGGCAGCCCAAGGTGGTCTGGATGAAGAACAAGATGGAAATCAGGGAAGACCCCAAGTTCCTGATGACCAACCACCAGGGGGTCCTGACGCTGAACATCCGCCGCCCTTCGCCCTTTGATGCGGGGACTTACTCCTGCCGGGCCTTCAATGAGCTGGGGGAGGCACTGGCTGAGTGCAAGCTGGATGTCCGAGGTGAGGAGGGGTCCCCACCCGGGCCGACCCCACCTGACTGGGGCTCTGTGCCAAGTGATGCTAGACCTGAGCCGGCCTGGGGCCCGGGGAGGCCCTGGGCACAGGGCTGGGCCGGCAACAAGGGGCCGTGCAGGCAGGGAGGGGCGCCTGCCCACCTGGCCAGAGCTCAGTGAGGTTTCTCCAAAGGGGAGGAGGACAGAGGCGGAGAGGAAGGAGAGCCCAGTGAGTGTCCCCAAGGCCTCCAGCAGGCCTGGGCCTATGTGGGGAGAGGCGCTGGGGGCTGAGCGAATGGGACAGCCCGTAAGATGCCCCCGAGGGACTCAGTACACATGGTGCCTCTTCAACACTCTTCCAACCTCCCCCGCCTGGGGCCTGGAGCCAGTCAGGGGCCAGTGCAGAGGACACTACCAGGCCCCTTAGGGCTGTACTCAGTGGTGACCATCCAACAGAGAGAAGACTCTCACTGCAGACCCTCAGCAGGGGCTCAGAGGGACTTCTCTACACCCAGGCAGCTGCAGTTCTAGACTGTTGCTCTTCTGGGGTCCCCAACATCCAACATTTTTCTGTCCCTTCTAACCAACTGAATCTGTTTAAAAATGGCCTGACCTCGGGAGTCCTGTAGCTGTCTATAGCAGAACAGCCTACTCTGGGGTGGAAATGAGGGACAGTCGCTGGACGGGAACATGTCATGTGGACACAGCTGGCAAAGGCACCTGGAGATCTAGGCACCTCTCTCATTGTCCCCACAGTGCTGCAGTGAAACCGACTCCAACCTGTGGAGGTGACCAAGCCTGACTGCAGCCCGAGTGCTCTGCCTCTGTCCCCTCCTCTACTTATCTCACACAACAAGACAGTGTTGCTTGGACTCTCGCGTGTCTTTCCTTGAATCTGCTCCCCTGCCCCCTCCTGTCCCCCAGCTCTCTGGGTGGGTAATGTTGGACTAGCAGCCACCACCATGGGGCAGTCACAGTGAACCAGGCCAGCACTGGGGCTGCCGTCTTGCAGCAGGGACTTTAGGGGGCAACCAGAGGCCATGGCTTATGGTTGGAGCTGCAGAGGTGCAGCCCGTATGCAGGAGCCTGGGACCAGCTACCAAGAGCCAAGGGAGGCACGCTGGCCGCAGCTGCAGTAATCGAAAATGAGCCACAGGCCCAGCTGGGAAGGCCATGCTCCTGAGGGAGCCATGTGTCAGTGGTGGGCACCGGGTTTTGACAATGGCCCAAGGAGCTGGGTGCGGCTAACCAGAGACCCCGGGAGGCTGCGAAGTGCCTGTGGTGGTTAGTTCTTAAGTGAACGATCTTTATTAAGCTTTATAATTCATTTATTGGCCCTGAGGTAAAGTACTTGATCTCGGGGTCTTTTGGTGACCTTGAAGGATGCTGGCAGAATCACAGTCCCCAGAGTTCAGAGGCCTGCGGGTCAAGTCTGACTTCTGTGGCTTGGAGCTGGGTGGGGAGAGTGTCTCTCAGCGCTCTGACCTGCAGGGGCGTCTGGGGGGGGTGGGGTGGGGTGGGCCTCTGGGCGGTGGCGGTGGGGGAGGCAGGGGAGCCCGGTGCAGCACCCTCAGGGTCTGGGAGGGCTGCTCCTCGCCTGTCCCAGCCTTTCTGGGAGTGGTCATCTGGCGTGGGAGCCCAGCTCTTCAGGTGCAGGCATCCCTCCCGCTGGACCCATTAGCAAGCTAGACCACCTAGCTAGGAGTGGCAGGTCCTGCGGCCCCACCCTGCTGTCTTCTACTCAGACACCCCGAAGGACCAGGAGAGGGTGGGTCACCTGGACTCTCACACCCAGGCGCCCCGCCCATCCGCGACTCGTCGTCGTCGTCGTCGTCGTCGTCGTCGTCGTCGTCGTCGTCCTCCAGCGCGTACTCCTGTGTGAAGGGCACAGCTCCCTCAGCCGAGTGGAAATGCAGGCGGTAGAGCAGCCGCACCCACTGGCCGAACTCACGGTCGCGGGTCTCCGGCGGGGCCCGCAGCTGCAGGTAGAAGACACGGCCAGTGCTGAACTTGACCTTGAGCTGCCGGCGGCATTCATCGTGGACGAACAGCTGAACGAACTGCAAGGGAAAGAGCCTGCGCCGGCGGGCGGGAGGCCGGGCTCAGGCGGCTCTGTTCACCGTCCAGCCTGCCCCCACCACCCCCGCGGCCCTCTGCCCGGGAGGCTTCCGTTTTACTTTCATTGCGTGTTGAATTAAGCTCATCCCAACCTCCTTCCAGCCTCCCATCCCTTTTGTCTCCCCTGGGCCTCTTCCTGAACCCCGGACCCGAACATGCCTATGTGACGTGCCCGTTTGGACAGTGGATCGACCACGGTCCCATGATGTGTTCAGCAACCACATCCCTGAAGGCCTCCCCTTCTCCAAATCTGCCCCTCTGGGTCTTCACGTCTTGGCTACATCCCTACACTTGCTCTGGGAGTTGTCCTTGATTCAACTTTCTTTTCCATACCCATATCCTATCGTGCCACCAAATCCTGATGGCTCCACCTCTAAAACATGCCCATAATCCAACCTTCTCTAACTCCACGGCCACCCTAGTCTTCTCAATTCCAGGGCTTTGCCTGGCAGGCTTACAACCAGTTCCCCATGAGGCCGCCAGAGGGCGCCAGTCAACACTTTACCTCCACTCTGTGCCAAAAAGCTCACCTGAAGTCCAAGTTCTCACCACGGACCACAAGACCCTGTGGGATCTGATCTGCTGTTATCTCTGCACCTCCATCCACACCAGCTTTCTCTCGGTCCATAAACACAGCCGGCTCTGACATTCCCCAGGACCTTTGCACAGGCGGTTCCCTCCACCTGAAACCCTCTTTCTCTAGTCATTTCTGTGATTCCCCTATTCATCTCCCTCATCTCTCTCTCGGGCAATCCTTCTCAAGGAGGTCTTTACCACTGAGCATCTACCACTAAGCTACAGTGGAATTTTGAAACAGAATTGAATTTACGATCCTGGCCTACATACAACCACGTCCATCTTCGTACACCTCTCTTGGTCCTCCCCTATCTCCTCACAGACCATACCCTGACCAGCAAATTGCCCTTTATCCTATCTGCCTTGTCAATAGAATGTGAGTGACCTGAGGGCTCTGAGTGACCTGGTCTGGCTTTTTCCAGTGCCGTTTTCCCTGCATCCTGAGCAGATGTTAGCAGGTGCTCAAGGGACACTTGTTACATATGTGAATAAATGAACTGCTCAGGCCCCCCAGTTGGACTGAAATTTCAACAAGATGGAGTAGGAAACAGTCACTAGGGGACTGACAACTTGGCCCAGGCCACACAGCTGAGATTGGGACCAAGTCCTGTGTTCATAACCACAAAACATTCTTAATGACAACTGGGCAGCCACATCCAGCTCTGTTCTGGCAGTGACCTCCAAGAATTGATCTAACAAGACACCCTCACCCCAGTGCACAGACGTATCCACACAGATGTCCCCTGCCTCGCTGGCTGTAACTCAAAGTCAGTGGACAAAAACCAGAGTCCCACAGTGGGCAGCTCGACTATGCCCCCATACGGAGGAGGAGCTGCTGTCCTCCACAGAGGGCTGGCTCTGCCAGGTGCTGCTCCTGCACCTCACACCGACTCAGTTTACCCCCCAACAGCCCTGGAAGTGACTTCCCCTCATTCCCACTTTCCAGATGAGGAAACGGAGGCACAGATGGGAAGCTTGGCCAAACCCAGTGAAGAAACCTTAAAGGCAGGATTGAACCCAGACCATCTGCAGGCAGACTGGTTCAAGGACGTCCCCTGCCACATTGTGACAAAAGCTTGTTCAGGGTGTATGTCCTGGGGGCAGCGTCTAGTGCGGAGGAGGGAGCCCAGCAGGAGGCAGTGTGCACACTGCTGCTGGCACAGAAAGGTGAACACTCACATGTGCCTGTCAGCCACAGCCCAGGGCTGTACCCTGGGCACCCAGGGTGAGTCCCCAGGCCCTGTCTGCAGAGCAAGCTGCTTGTTTTTCCTTCAGTGGTCTATTTGGGGCAGGGAGCTTAGGAAGCTGAAGGAGATGATGGAGGGTCAAAGTCTCCCCTTAGCACGGTGCTAGTGTTCTCCAACTGCAGGTGATCTCCTGGCGGGTGGTGAGATCAACTGGGGGACCCAATAAGCTTTTTTTTGGTGCTAGGGATTGAACCGAAGGACACTTAACCACTGAGCCACATCCCCTGCCCGTTTTATTTTTCTATTTTGAGACAGGGTCTCAGGTTGCTCAGGGCCTCAGCCTCCTGAGCACTATGATTATAGGTGTGTGCCACCATGCCCAGCTCACAATTAGCATTTAAGATATTTGAAAAAAAAAACACAACAGTGACAGGATAGTGCTTTGTGAAACGTTCTCCACTTAGGTGGGGGGATAACTAAAGGCTGTGAGCCTCCAGTAGGCTCAGATACATCCCTTCATTCTTCACTCCTTACTTTCTTCCCTCCCTTACCTCCTCCTCTCCCCAACCTGCCATCTCTTTCTTTAAAGATGAGATGTGGTCAAAAAAGTAAAGTCCCTGGCAGCGCTGTCTATAAACTCAGCCTGTGCTTCTGGATTTGCAGCTGGAGTTGGGGGGAGGAGCCTAGGATGGGAAAAGGTACATCTCCTGCCATGTCACTTTTGTCCTTGTATGCGTGTGTGCGGGTGCACGTGTGTCACTGGGGACTGAACTCAGGAGCACTTTACCACTGAGCTACATCCCCAGCCCTTTGTATTTTTTATTTTGAGACAGAGTTGAATTCATGATCCTCCAGCCTCAGCCTCCCAAGTCACTGGGACTACAAGTGTGCACCATGGTGCCCAGTGTGGGTTACTTTTTAATGAAAAAATAAGACCTTGAGGGGCAGTATAGCATGTAACATGGCAGTGGGATTCAGGAATTAGGAGATCTGAGATTACAAGGAATGTGACCCCTGGCCCACATGGGACCCTGGGAAACTGTTCCCTTCTCTTAGCCTCACTTTATTTCTTTGGAGGATGGAACTAAGGAGCCCCACCATGAGGATATGAGGTAAAATGTGGCTATGTGCATGGTCCAAGGGCACCTGGCATGTAGTAGGCACTTCATAAATGGTCACTGTCCTGACCTTTGCAGGGTGTTGCTGAGAACTGTCCCTGCCCTGTTGTCTAGTCTCTGATTTCTGGTTCCTATGGACTGCCCTGTCCTCTTTCTCCTGGATGTACAGCTGCCCAGAGGGCTGAAGCCACCCAGTGCTCCTGGGTGGTCTGGGTGAAAGGAGCTGCTGCCAGAGGCCTGGGTTCCCTGAGCGGAGGGAGGAAGTGGTCTAGGCCTAGTTGGGACAGTCACCCGAGGAGTTGCAGGCGTCCATTCTCCTTGGCAGGGCCAGCCAACAGCAAGAGATCTGGGAGTTCCAGGGCTGGACTTGAGGCTGCCACCCCCATGGTGACCTTGTTGGCAACTTCTCCAAACCGGGTCACCTGGGACCAGAGATCAGAGATTAGAGGCAGGATACAGGGGAACATTGGAAAGGAACTAGAGGTCAGGAATCTTAGTAGAATACAAGGTCATAAACCAAGGGAGTAAACATGGGGCTAGGGGCCAGATACCTTGGGATTAAAGACAAGAACTGAGGGTGTGAAGTCAGGGAAACTGAGACAAAGGACTCCAAGGCCAGAGTTCACAGACAAACCAAAGGGCCAGAGATATGGGGTGGGAGGTGGTCAGATGGCACAGGTGCAGCTGGAGGTCCACAACTGTGCAAGGATTATGGGGAAATAGCTGGAATGGCAGAAATGGGGTTCCCCAAGACAAAAGGATGAAGGTCGGGCCCAGGCTCTGGGCCGAGGTGCCCAGACTTCACACCTGCATGAAGTTGCTCTCAAAGATAGGGAAGTCCCGCAGCTGGTCAAACTCGCCGCTCAGGAGGTGGCGTTGGAGCCGTCCAGGTCGTCCCTTGGGATACGCTGGAAACAGGGGACGTTCTAGAGGGACAAAGTTTGAGGGTCTATGCCAAGAGGTTGAGCCCAGACCCCCCAGAAGGTCGGGCCCAGAGCAGCACAGTGCTGAGGCGATGGTATGGGGTATCTCCGAAAAGCTGATCCCATGCCTTACTCTGTGCTCACCAGGTCCAACCCCTCCAGGCCTGGCTCCGCCTCCCTCGTACCATCCCACGTCCAATCTCATATGTTCCCCCTCACCTGCTCCACCAAGGGCTGGCTTAGGATCGTACCCCCGCTTCATCGCAAAGCCCGGAGCCCTGGTGGGAGCGAAGGGAGGAGCCGGGGTAGAAAACCACACTGACGAACTGCGAGCGCTGCGACGTCATAACGAGAAATCCAAATTTGATGACATCATAGAAGTTCCTAGAATGGCGGCGTCACCTGAAAAGCAGGCCCTGGAGACCCGGATAAAGGGGCGGCAGCCCGATGACGTCAGGCCCTGGTGCCTGCGGATGCACGCCAATGCGCAGGCGCAAGGGACCGACGCAGGCGCAGTTGTGTCAGGATGCAGCCGGGTGCTCCCAGCGTGCTCCGCGGTGCTTGGTTCACATCCTCTAGGTGGATGGGAAAGCGTTGAAATGGCGGCCGCCGGCGCCGGGGCCGCCCGGCTGCTCCTGCTCTTGCTGATGGTGGCAGCAGCTCCCAGCCGAGCCCGGGGCAGCGGCTGCCGGGCCGGCGCCGCCGCGCGAGGGGTGAGTGCCCATCAGCTTCGTGGAGCAGGAGAGGCCGACGCAAGTCGTGGGACTGTAGGTGGATTAAGGTGGTGACGAGGCCGGGCAGGGTGGAGAGGAAAGATGAGAGGTGAAGGAACCCTGGAGAGTGAGGCAGGCGTGGGAGGGCGCCAGGCCCGGCACCAGCCCGCCGCCACCTGGAGGGAGAGCTGCGGACTGTGGGGGCCTTGGCGGTGAACGGGAAGGCAGGCTGCCGGAGGCCTGGTCGGGCACGTTCGCTTCGGCTGGGGCGTGAGGGGCCCGCAGGAGCGGTGTGGCCAGGATGGAATCCTGGCGAATCAGACGTCAAGGTGATCAAAATGAAACAAAGGCGCGGGCTGCTCCAAGGCCTGGAGAGGAGTTTAGTCTCTTGAATATGCGTCAGGATACCCGGTCGCGCAGGAGCGGGGCGTGAGGAGGTGGAGAGTGCAGAGCAGAGGACATTTGAAGGGTTAGAGAGAGAAAGGCGGAGAATCCTGAATGTACTTGGTGGGGGCGGTACTTAGGCAGCATCTTGGCTGTTGGGACTTTTAAGGTGCAAACGAGGACATTTAGATATTAGCAACCAAAGGAGCCCCCGGGGAGAAGGGTTTCCTATATTTATAATGCAAGGCATGAAAGTGACTGGGAGTAGTTGCCTTGAAAATAAGAGTATATCCTAAGCATGTCTGTAGGGTCTTGGTTTCTGAGAATGGCAGTCCAGGTCATGAATAATCATGAATGGAAGGTCCTGGTGAAATGCGCATAATTGGACCTGAACATCAAGGTGAGGCTTCTTAAGTCCTACTGCCAGGCATTCCTGGAACCTGTGGGTCCTGCCCTGCAGAGAGCTTGAGTTAGTCCTCACCTCGGGCCCTCTTTCTCTTTTGCAGGTGGGGACTGAAGGGCGAGAGGCTGAGGGCTGCGGCACGGTGGGACTGCTGCTGGAGCACTCCTTTGAGACCGGTGAGTCCAGCGATGTGGTTTTCTCAACACTTATCTGGTGCCCTGTGAAGTCCAGTCTTTACAATGTGTGATCTGCCTGTTCATTAACAGTGTTGCTCTGGGGAGGGAGGAGAGAGAGATGGAACACCAGCTTCAAGTACCCTTGACCTGTAGGACCAATGCCAGACTTAGTGCTGAAGTAATGGTTTCGGAGCTTTTCTGACCAGTTGCCAAGTTTGCTGCATTAGTGATTTGATGCTTCTTTGTGGATGTGTCTGATATCCTCGTGACAGTCTTTCCAGGTTGTGGATTTAAGCATTAGCCCCATTTTTCAGAAAAGGAAACAGGCTTAGGGTAGGCTTAACACATGGTCCCTGCATCAGTGAATGACAGAACTGGAACCAACTCACACTTAAACAGCTGTGACAGGCAAGCCAGAGCCAGCTGTCAGCACTACACAGGGCTTAGTAACGAAGTCAGAGGCTCCAGAGTGTTGGCATTTGTTACAGTGAAGCTGGGGCACCTCCCCAGACCTCCCAAGCTAGACCCTGGTCAGCCCAGAGAAAATTTAGGCTCAGAGAACTTATGTAACTGTCCCAGGATCAGTACACGATAGGGGTGTCCCAGTTTGCAGATGGGAGACTGGCAGCTCAGGATGAAGAAGCCACCTGGTCACTCTTGGGCAGAGCCAGACCAAGATATGAATTCAGCTGTCATGCAGTAGGGCTGGCGTAGGGTGTTGGTCACTGAGCCCAGCTTCCCACAGATGACAGTGCCCACTTTCGGAAACGGGGCTCACTACTCTGGAATCAGCAGGATGGCACCTTGTCTTTATCACAGCGGCAGCTCAGCGAGGAGGAGCGGGGCCGACTTCGGGTGAGGTGGGGTCCCTAGGCTGGACTGGGGACCGGGGGCATCCAGTGAGCCCTTCCAGCTGCCCCCCTCCCTTCAGGTGCCCCTTCTGCCCTCCTGCCCTCTGTCCCTGCAGCTGCCCAGGCTAAATGGTACCTTGGTTACCCTCTATGCCCCTTTTGGGGTGCCTGTCTCAAGGCCTTGGTCCAGGCTTCTGCCTCTTCTCCCACAGGTTCCCATGATTGGCTCCTCCTGCCTTTCCAGTTATAACAGTCATTTCATGGCCCCTTGGGAGGAGGCTTACTTGTGAGGAGAAAAGTCCTCAAGAATGGCCCTTTAGACAGGGTGTTCCTCCAGGGCCTCCTCATGGGCTGGGCTTCCCCCTGGCCTGGCTCTTTTCTCTTCTGCACAGTCAGTCCCACTTGTGCCCTGCAGGAGGGAGGCTGGGAGCATCAGCTTCATTCTGGAAGCCACGTGCCCAGGGTGCCCTCCCTGTGAAAGAGGGCAGGGCAAGGTTGACCCAGATAGCCTGCCTGCATTGTGCCTTTGTGGTTCACTGTCCCAGCTGCCCCCAAAGAAAATTTTATTTCCAGTGGAACTGGAGAGTGAGGCATGGGACAGATATCCTTGGTACCCACTCTGCTACTGAACTGGGGGCTCTGCTGTCCTGGGTAGCTTTTCCCCCAGAATGGGTAGCCTGGACAGACGAGGGTGGGCCAGGCCAGGAATGCAGTGTGCCGGCTGGGGAAGCTGGGACAGGCCCAGTGGGTTCATGGCCTGGTGGACCATCGTTCTCACTAGCACCCTCTTCTGCATGACCTGCAGGATGTGGCAGCCCTCAATGGCCTGTACCGGGTGCGGGTCCCAAGGCAGCCAGGGATCCCTGATGGGTCTGAAGCTGGCGGCTATGTCTCTTCCTTTGTCCCTGCGGTGAGTTCGTTACAAGGACTATCCCCATCCTTGTTCCCTCTGCCTACCTTGGTCCCCATCAAGCCCCTTGCCCAACAGAGGGCAGGTGGTTGGAGACTTGACCTTGCTCTGGAGGGATCACTCCAGTTGGTGGTGGGGTGGCATCATAGTAGGACATGGAACATGGGCTCACAGAAGAGTGGCAGAGAGCTGAGGGAGGGTTTTGAGAGATGCTTAGGAGGTCTTGGAAGAGTAGCTCCTGCTCTCCCTGCTCCTCTGACTTGGCTCCCCCCCCCCACCCCAGTGCTCCTTGGTGGAGTCACACCTCTCAGACCAGCTGACCCTGCACGTGGATGTGGCTGGCAATGTGGTGGGTGTGTCAGTGGTGACACACCCTGGGGGGTGCCGAGGCCATGAGGTGGAGGATGTGGACCTGGAGCTGTTTAATACGTCTGTGCAGCTGCGGCCCCCAGGCACAGCCCCAGGGTGAGTACCTGAAAGGAGGTTGTGGAGGGAGGGTCCTGCTCCTGCCTATGCTGGCATCCTGACTGGCTGCATCAAGTCTCTGGGTCCCTGGATTCCTTACCCACTTTTTTCCCCTCCACTTGCTCCCCAGTCCAGAAACAGCAGCCTTCATCGAGCGCCTAGAGATGGAGCAGGCCCAGAAGGCCAAGAACCCCCAGGAGCAGAAGTCCTTTTTTGCCAAATATGTGAGTGGGGCTCCCCTGCCCTCCCTGCCCTCTTCCCTACAGGTCCTGCCCAGCTGGCTGGGCCTCCCTTCTCCTGGCCAGATGACCTGTGCTTGTCTCTGGCACCTGGGCTGAGTCAGGGGCGAGGGCTATAGACTCCTGCTTGTGTCAGCTTGTGAAACTGTTCAGAGTTGAGTAGCCCTAGGAGCCCAGAAGGCCCCAGCCAGGGATTCGCAGGCTTATTTGGTAGAAAAATAGCGTGGGGTGGGTGGAGGGCACAGGCTGGGGCAGGCTTCTGTTAAGATGGAGAGGCAGGGATGGGCGGAGGTTTCAGAGGAGTGAGGGAGGCTTCAGGGGGGCACCCAGGAAGGCAGAGAGGGGTGGATCTGGGGAGGGTTGCTCAGGGACATAAGGGTGGAGGTGGCCAGGAATGGGCCCAGGGCCCAGGAAGGAAGGACCTGCACTGCTGGAAGCAGATCTGCGGCCAGAGGCCTAGAGGCCGAGGTGGGCGGGAAGCTGGGGAGGTGCTGAAGAAGCAAGCCCTACTAGAGAAGGTTGCTTTCATCCAACCTTCATGTCCCATGGCACAGGCCCCCAGGCAAGGTAGGTGACAGCAGGGTCAGTGTTATTCAGGTTGGAAGGGTGCTGGTGGCCTGTGAGTGCTGAGCACCTTCCCTGAGGCCCTCAGCAGCTCCCAGGTCAGGGTAGTTCAGCTGCAGGAAACAGAGGCCCAGAGAGGTGGAAGCTCAACTGCTCTGTCTGCTGCTTGCTTGAGGGCACACCCTTCCCTGAGGCCCCCCGGAGCCCACTGACCTGCGCTCCCCTCCCTCCTCAGTGGCACCTCATCCTGGGGGGGGCCGTGTTGCTTACGGCCCTGCGTCCTGCTGCCCCGGGGCCCGCGCCACCACCGCAGGAGGCCTGAGTGAGGACCAGACCCCTTCCCGCCTCCACCCTCCTGTACCCCACCGGCCCTGCCCCTGCCTGTAGTGCTGTAGGGGACCTGGGCCCCTCCCCTCACGCGGTCCCCCTCACACCAACCCCCTCCCTACCCTGAGCAGAGTGGCACCCACACTTACTTCCCTTTCTGTCTCTGTTTGTCCCCCTCTGCCCTGCAGTGGATGTACATCATTCCTGTTGTCCTGTTCCTCATGATGTCAGGAGCACCAGACGCGGGGGGCCAGAGTGGCGGTGGGAGTGGGGGTGGCAGCGGGGGTAGTGGCCGGTAAGCAGCACACCCTTTTACCCAAGAACTTCCTTTACCCATTCTCCCATGTCCTTGGTCATCCCAAGAAGGACTTGCTGGCCCCCTCCTGTCTCCTCATCCCATGGAGGTAGAAAGATGCCCCCTCTCTAGGGGGCCTGTAGGCTGCCCGGGGAGCCCATATTCTCCAGGGGCCTCTCTGTTCTTTTTAGCAGAGGGGTGGCAAACTAGGGGGCATCTGCTGTGCCCCCTTTCCCATGACCCCACCTCAGCCTCATGGACTCCCCTTAAACCACAGGCTGGAGTCCAAGCTCTGGGAATCCTGTCACTGCAACCCATGGCCCACCCCACCCCAGCCCTGCAGTCTGGGAACATGCCACGTCCTCTCCAGCCTCTGTGCCTTTGTTCTGGGTGTTCTTGCCCTGCCTGGCCTCGACCAGGTTCCCAGGGCACCTCCTCACTTGGTGTGTGTCTCTGGCCTTCCACGGTCTCCCCTCTGAGGATGTGGTTGGGAGTGGCTGGCTGTGGGTGCCCTTGGGTTCCACTTGCAGCACCCTTGTCACCCTGCCTGGCTGTGGGGGAAGCACTGGGCCTTCTGGACTCCAGGCCTCTACTAGCCTTCTGAGTGTGAAGAGTGGTGGTGTTTAATCAGGAAATGACAATGGAGTCAGGGCCAAGTGATGTGAATAGAATCCCCTCCTCAGTCTTACCTGGGTCACCTTACCCAGGGTGCAGCACCTGGACAGGCTGCTGGGCCTCTGCTGTTCGTTGCCCCTTGTCTGTTGAAAAACGTTTGCATTATATTGAAGGTCCCAGCTTTCAACAGCCAAGTGTGGCTTGAGTTCTGCTGTTCACTTAATATATTTATTCAGAAATAAGAAAATGGCCATCGTTGTCGTTATAACGTTATAATTGCTATGAAGCCCTGCCAGAAGGATGTACTGGGGCCATTCAACCCCTCCTGTCCCAGCTCCACACACGTAGGCCTAACTCGGGTGAGGTCCCAGGCCGGCCCACAGGCAGCCAGCCTTGTCCCCACATCCTTGCCAGCAGACTTCTCAAACCTGGGCCAGGGTCTGATAGGTTAGAAAATGGTATCACACAGCCTGGCATGGTGGTGCATGCCTATAATCCTGGCTGCTTGGGAGGCTGAGGTGAGAGGATCACAAGTTCCAGGCCAGCCTCAGCAACTTAGCCAGGCCCTTCATCAAAAACCAAAACGGCATGTGTTGCTCCAACCCTGTGCTTCCAAAAACAGAACAGTGTGTGCGTAAGCCCTGCGAAGGGCTCTGGAGAACTCCAGCCAGCTCATGGGTGGCACGTACACGCGGTTTGAGTTGCTCTTAGAGCTCATCTGGTACTTCAGCCCAACCGGGAGGCGGCTTAGGTGTGCATGTTCTCCCTGGGGCCTGCTCTTCACCTTCTCACTCCTTCCCAGCACTCCAGTGGCTCACACCCCTCCCCTGTGCACTTTGGCATAAGGCCTGAGAGTTCCCAGGCATTGTCCAGTTTACATACTCTCAGTATTTACAAAGGGTCTGCTGTGTCACGTGCCTGTCAGCCATGGGGTTACCTCTTTTAAATAAGTTTTTGTAGCTGTACTACAAAAGGTGTCCCAGGGTTCCTCTGACTTCCACATCTTTCCCTGATAGTGAGAGATTATGATGCCACTACGCTCTGTTAGGTCTGTTCCATGTGGATTTCTGTCTCTCAGATTACCCCAGCAGTGTTTACTGATGCTTTTTGGGAATCTTCACTACTCAGTTCTTAACCTTGGTCAAATTTGCACATCCCTCTTCCCACAGCAGTTTGCACGGCCATCTGGTTTTTAATGGATTAGGCTTTGGGATCTTATATATCTGATCACATTCTTTTCCTCTAATACTTTTGCTTGCTCTCAGGCTGGCACTTACTCTGGTATTCTAGAAGATGTCTGAGTTTCTTCAAGGTCCCCAGGACTTTGTCCTTATTAAATTTCTCTTCCCATTCCTGCTTGTCCCTGTAGAACTCATTCACTGTTTTATTTTACTGACCAGGGTTTCCAGGGTCTTCAATACATTAGGATCCATGGCAAGGAGCCTTCTGCCCACCCCAGGCTCTTGCCCCTAATTCCCCTGGCAGGGGGCAGCCTGGGGTTTTTGTGACCTGACCACTGATTTAGAGACAGTCTCTACATCAACAAGCAGATGCTCTTGTTTTGCAGAAGTGTGTTGCTCTTGACCCACCCCTTCCTCCAACATAAATTGGAAAGATTTCCGCCGGTGGGTTCTGCACAAGCTGCAGCCTCTGAAGCTAGGAAGTGTTGCAGCTCTTAATGGCTGGCCACACCCTCTAGTGTTGCAGCAGACCCAGCAGCTCACCTGGTCACTGCTGAGAAGTGGCAGGGAAATGGTGAATCAGCTGAGTGGCAGCTGGGCACACAAAGCACAGGCTGAACACAGGGTGCCTAGGGGAGCCCGCCATGCCAACGGGCTCTTTCGATTTCATTTGAAGAATGAAATCCAGAGACCAGGATGAGTGAGTATAAGAGCAGGATTTATTTAAGGGTGCATAGAAACAACCCTCACAGGATTAGAGGGGACCTGACAGGTTGCTGTCTGGGTGTGATAGGGGTTTATAGCGCTTGGGCCAATGTTCCTGGTACAAACTTAACCTAAGTAGGATTGGAAAATTAATACCGCTATTGGTTAGCCCTGAATTCCACTCAGGTTTACTTTGCTTTCATTTTCTCCTAACTTTGGGAAGTGGGAGGTTGAAGTCATTGAATTGTACATGCTCAGTAACTGTATCAGGTGTCTGGAGATGCAGCACTGGAGTGCGCTTCCACAGGCATCCATGCCCGTGTGCAGGCTGGGCTGCTGTCGGGTAACAGGTCGGTTTCTCCCGGCCCACTTAGGTGCTGGTCCACCGCACCTCAGATCCACGCTGGCATGGAGGGCTCCCCAAGGCACCCTGTGTTCAGCCTGTGCTTTGTGTGCCCAGCTGCCACTCTGCTGATTCACTGTTTCCCTGCCACTTCTCAGCAGGGTCCAGTGGGTTGGCTGCATGGCTTGGTGACCAGGGAGCCACATCACCTGGACCATACCTGCCTCCTGGCTCCTGCCTTAGGGAGCACTGAAGAAGTCAGCACTTCCCACCCTTAGTTGCTCTGGGATCCTGCCCAGGACCCTGTTTCACTCTTCTACCCCTCCAGGTCCCTTCTCTTTTCTCTGTTCCTATGTGGCCACAACCTCAGCTCAAGCCTAATCTTCTTGGTCCATCAGCCCAGCATCCTCTTCGGCCTCCCAGCCTCCAGCTTTCCCCACTCACCATCCATCCTCCTCATGGGGAGCTTGATACCACAGCTTGCCTCTACTGAAGCCCTCCTGTGGCTCCCCAGCATCCACTGGACAAAATGCCATCTCCTCCTGGCATTGAGGGATACCATATCCCTTATTGAGGGATCAGTTAGATAATCACCAGGCCAAACCTCTGGCACTGTTCTCATCTGCCCACCCCCAGCCTTATCCCTCCTGCCTCTTTCTGCCATGTTCCCTCCTCTGCTCCATGGTCCTGGCCCCAGCTCAGTCCTCATTCTCTTCTGGACTCTGTCCCCAGCATGGCTTCAGGTCTAAGACGTGAGGCCTCAGTGAGGGGACTGCCTCACCCCTCCAATACCCTTTTCTGGTCCCTGGCATGTGAGTACTCCCCCTTTCCAATCTAGGGTTTCATACTGGCATTTGGCTGTTTTTAGCACTAATTGTGTGGCACATGGCCTTAGGATGTGGAAGGCTAAATTTTGGATATTGTAAGACTACTGCTCCCCACTGTGGCTTCTGGAAATAAGTCTGTGGGCTTTTTACCCTTGGAAGACTCCAAGGCAAGGAACAGGGACTTGTTCTTGGGCCTCCAGCCGTTGGTCCCCCACCTTGGCTCACATCTACCTTCCCTTTACAAAGGGGACATACTCGATTAGGCCCAGTCCCTGGAAATAGTTTTTCAAGCAAACCGGTGTAAGCCAGATCCCAGGCCCTTCTCTCCCATAATGCAGTCCCCACTGCATGGTCACAGGGTGTAGGAGAGACTCCTTGAATGGATGCCCTGACAACACGGGAGGGTCCGGGTGTAAGCTGGCATACCAGGAAGCTTGTGGGGCAGGATATTTATATGTTGGAAGTAAAAGTGGTTATTTCGGCAGCATTTTGCAAATCTGTCCTCCCCACCCAGTCTCCCCACCTCCCCCAGGCATTCTTGGCATTATCCTTATCCCTGAGGACAGACTCAGTTCTAATAGAGCACGGGTGCTGTTCCATCTGCTGCCAGGAGGTGGTAACTGAGGGCCCCGCATGGATGAAGTGCCCTGCAGGTGGCGCTGTTGGTCCTTCAGGCCAGGTCCTCCCTGGCGTCTCTGTCCTCACTGCTGCTGGTCTTTTGAAGTCCTGGGCGCCTGTTTCTCATGGGTGAAAAGGAGATCCAGGAAGGTCCTCCACATGGAGGTGCTCTCTGCTGAGAAGAGGGTGGAGTGCTGGGAAGGAGAACAAAGCAGTAGGTCTCGTCCCCTTCCCACCAAGTTCAAACTCCAGTCCAGGAGCTGATCCCTAGCCTGCCCCACGGGCCCACCCAGTCCTGGCCCTGTCACTTACATGCAACTTGCTTCTGTCTCTGGTCCCATTCCTCATTTCCTCCTTCCCAGGCTTTGGGTGGGCTTGATTTCTCCAGGGGGTATCCAGCGTCCAGGACAGACAGAAAAGAGAGAGAACAAACGTCACAAAGTTCTTTCAGCTCCTGGGCTCTGGCTTGGCAGCTCTGCCTCTGGTGGCCCACCTCCTGCACTGGGTGGAAGCCACCTCCTTCTCAGCCTGGGAACCTTGAGTGCTGGGGCAGGGGAGGGAGGGAGAGGGCACGAGCAGGAGAGGAGTAGGGAGAGTGCAGGCGCCTCCCTGAGACTGGAGGAGGCCGGACTCCGGAGGATTGAGAGCGTGGGGAGAGATTCAAAGCGAAGCAGGGAGAGGGTGTGGGGAGATTTACGGATCTCCCAAAGGAGAGAGTGGGGAGCAAGAGGGAGAGGAAGGGGAGGCAGATTCAGAGAGGATAAAGCTCAAAGGACAAGAGGAGGAAAGAAAAAGAGAGAAAAGTGAGAGGGGAAGAAAAGAGGAAAGAGTGCAAGATAGAAGAGAAGGGGAGCACAGCTGGAGGGGCGCGCCCAGCGGGAGGGCTGGCGAGGGGGCGAGGGAGAAGAGGAAACGTCAGGGGAAGGAGTGGGGAGGAGAGACGGTGGGGAAGAAGGGAGCGAGAAACAGAAAAGAGGAGAGGGCAGCTGCAGCGAGCAGGGCAGGGCGGGAGCGGGCCCTGGGCAGGGCGCACCCTGGGGAGAGGAAGGGAGCCGGGACGCGCGGAGGGAGGGAGGCAGGTCCCTGGAGCCCGCAGGCAGCGCCCTGGCTCTCGCTCAGCCCAGCCAAGGCCGCCAGGGCCAGGCGGCACCGGCGAAGGCGACCCCCATCCCCGCAGAGGCCTCCCCCTGTCTCGATGGGCGGCCAGGGCTAAAGGAAGAAGACTGGGGGAAAATGAGGAGAAAGAGGGAAGCCAAAGAGACGGGCCAAGGAGGGAGGAGGTGGGGACGAAAGAAGAGAAAGAGACGGAGGGGAGGCTGACCCAGCCGCCGAGCTCAGTGGAGGAGGCGGAGGAGATGTGCAGAGCCCAGTGCAGGGCCCTCACGGGGACGCGGAGGGATGGGGGGTGGGAGGGAGGGAGACTCAGAGAACTGGAGAGAAAGAGAGAGGGCAGGAGTCAGGGAGAAAGAGGGAGGGAAGAGGCAGAGAAGACAGAGGAGAGAGACTGGGAGATAGATGAAACAGGGAGGGAGAGAAAGATGAGAAAGAGGGCAGGAGACAGGGACAAAGAGGGAGAAGACAGAAAAAGGAGGGGAGGGGAGGGAGGGAGAGAGGAAGATAAGGAGAAAAAAAGAGGAGACAGAGAAAGAGGGAAAGAAAGAAGGACAGGAGGAGAGAGAGGAGACAGAGATGGGGGGAGGCTGTCACCCCGGCCTGCCTGCGGTGCTGGGTTGGTCACTGGCCCAACACTGTAGCTGACAACTAGATAAAACATTTCTGTGAATTGGAAAAGCACCCAACTGTTGCTAAGACCACAGAGGTGGGGGTCAGGGAGGAGGGTTAGGGTTAGGGGACAGTGAGGGGGACAGGCCCTGTTGACCTGGGAATTTAGACTTTCATGTGGGTGGGGTGGTTCCCGATGACAAGAGGGACCCTGGGCCCTCACGGGGCTGCAGAGGGCCCCCCCCCATGTCTCTACTCAGCTGGGGGACTGCCCCACACAGCTAGCCCTGACCTCTGGCTGGCAGAACTGTGAGGAATGCAAGGGAAGAAGGGACCATGAGCCAGAGCCATGGTCAGGGAGGGATGGCGAGGGCCTGGCTCCTCTGAGTTGGAGCTGCTGGGCGCCCAGAGTGAGCCCCTGGCACTGCAGCTCAGAGCTGGGGGTAGAGGGGGCGCAGGAGGGAACTGGAAGGGGCACCTGCTGGGCTCTGGCCACCTTCCACACAGGACAACAAGTGTCCTTCCCTGGGTCCCATCAGCATCAGTCAGGAGCTGCTGAGCCGCGAGGGCCAAGTCCTGGCACCTGGACAGACGTGACCCCAGTACAGGGCAAAGCACAGGTGGGAGGACCTTTGTCCTGAGGGGGGTAAAGTCATCAGTTTTGTGGAGGGGGCCTGCCAGTCCTCCTGGTCACTAGCATCTGGCCTCAGGGACAGGAAAGGAGCAGGGCGGAGGTGTAAGCGCTAGCCATCAGGAAGGACCCGAGGCTGGAGGGAGAAGGAAGAGAAGATAAAGGCCCCAAGCTCAGGGCACAGGGAAGCAGCTCCTAGTGCCTCAGAGGAGGGGGGGGGGCGCAAGGTGGCCAAGGGACGCTGTGGGGAGGGAGCAAGGGGACGCAGAAGAGGAGAGCAGGGGGAAAGCAAGAGAAGGTTCTGGAAAAAACAGCAAAGATGAGGAAGGGATGGGGAGTGGGAGAGAAAGGGGGGAAGGGGCAGGAGTGCAGGGTGCCGGAGAGGAAGAGGAATTTCCCAGGAAGTGGCCTGGACCCTGCCCTCGTCCCACCATCCTCCTCCTCTCCAGGGTGGTGGCCTGGGGGCAGCACAGCAGGGAGCACACTGGGCCCCAGCAGAGTGGTGAGTGGGGAGAGCAGGGTGGTGTGAAGGTCTTCAAAAGGCAGAATGAAAAGGTGGGGAGTCAGGAAATGGGGGGGACGTGAGGGACAGACACCATGAGGGAGGGGGGCCAGAGGGGGGAGGTGAGGGACAGACACCAGGAGGAAGGGGGTCAGAGCACACGATGATGAAGGAGGGGCTGAGGAGAGTGGCGGAGAGGAGGAGGAAGGGGGAGGAGAGGGAGCCAGGGGAGCAAGGATGGAAGGAGGAGGGAGGAGGAGGAGGATGGCAGAGGAGGAGAGTGGGAAGAGACGATGGAGGAGGAGGTGGAGGAAGGAAGGGCAGTGGCCTGGGGGCCCTCGGGGACACGCGCAGGGAGGGAAGCGGAGGGAACCGCAGGTGAGGGCACCAGCTTGTGGAGGAAAATGTGTGGCAGAGGAGGGGACAAAGGAGAAGAGAGGGAGCCTGTGATACAATGAGAGAGGCCCAGAGTGGGTGGGGTGCAGAGGAAGGAGGCTGGGGCGAGGGGCCCTGGCCACCCACAGCCCCTGCCCTGCTCGAATAGGGGAGGGGGGAGGCAGAGGAAGGGGGGTAGCAGCTCAGACTGGCTCCCGCTGCAGCCTGGCCCTGTCCGTGGCTGTCAGTGCTCTGGGGGGGCGGACTCTACCCCAGTGCCTGCTCCAAGGGAGTGCTGCTCTCACCCACGGCGCTTCCCAGGAGAAGTCAGATCGGGACCCAAATCTGCCCCCATTTTGGTCTTCCCAGCCCCATGAGGCAATGCCAACTTGCCCTTTCCATGGCTCCAGAGGACACCTAAACCCCTTCTACCTAGAAAATTTGGAGCTTCCACTGATGAGAAGGAACAGAAAGAGAAAGGGAACTAGAAAGAGGACGTCAATGTGTGTTGATTGCCTAGCATACAGCTGGTGGTCAATTAGTGTCCCTTCCCTTTTCTGAGGGAGAATACAGGGAGCAGGAAGGAGGAGAAGGGGGAGCAGATTGTGAGAAGGGAAGGAATTGCTGAAGAAGAGCTCAGCACACAGCTGGTACTCAATAAATGCCCATTCCCTTCTTCAGGATAGATAAGAAAGAAGAAACCATTGCAGAGGAAAACAGGGGAAGAAAATCAGCCTAAGGAGTGGGGTAATGGGTAGAAAGAACTAGGTATACAGTAAGTGCTCTTTAAGTGTTCTCCAGGAGAAAGGAGAGGAAAATGTCAGTAGAGAGAACAAAGAGAAGAAAAGTTGTGGGGGAAGAAGATAATGTGCATAAAGTGGCTGGCACATAGTGGGTGCTTAATAAATGCCTGTTCCCTGCCCTGAGCACAGAGAAAGAAGCCAGGAGGAAGGAACAGAGCCTGTGGGGCGTCACAGGTGGATGGTGCACACTAAGGTGCACACAGGAGGTACTCAGCACAGGCTCCAGCTGGGAGGAGGGAGCTGGGTCAGGCATGCAGGGAGGCATGGTGCCCAGGAGCCTGGCAAGAAGGGTCCTTGGAGGAGACCGCAGGAGGGGAGTGGGGGGGGGGCTGGGAGAATGGGAGGGGAGAAGCTGGCAAGACAGCATACAGGGAAGGGCAGGTGCAGGCGAATATTGGGGTGCACAGGAGGCACTAAATAAATGCCCACACTCAGAGTGGGGGAGAGAGAGGTGGGCAGAGTAAGAGGGGCGGAGAGAAAGAGGCAGGGGGAATGAGGTGGGATGCCAATGCCGTGAACAAAGCACACAATGGCCTGGCACACCAGTAGTGCTCAGTAAGTTTGATCCTTGCCTTGGCAGAGGGCAGGGATCCCAGAAAGAAAAGAAGAGGGCAGAGGTAAAGGGGCTGAACAGCGAGACGGTATGAAAAGTGCCCAGTACACAGTAGGTGCTCAAAATGTGTTCATTCTCTCCCCCAGGAGAGGGCAGAAAGTCAGAAAGGAGAGGAAGTCAAAAGAGGGAAGGAAGCAAACGGTGGGGACAGATATAGGGAGGAGGAGCCAGTGTTTGTGTCTGGTACACAGCAGGTGCTCAGTAATTGCCCACCTCCTTGCCAGGAGGGAGCCTACAAATCAGAAGAATTAGGTGAAAGGTACAGGATAGCAAAAGGACAGGCACAGAGGCAGTGTGTGGAAACTGCCCTAAAACATGGAGTTAATAAGTGCCCACTTCCTCCCAGGCTGGAGCTGAAGCACAGGAGGAACAAGCAGAGGGTGCACAGGAAGGGACTGGGACAGGGACAGGGAGGGACGGGTGGGAGGGTGAAGAGAGCTGAGGGAGGGTGAAGAGAGCTGAGGAGGCTTCCACTGCCTACAGTAGGTGCCCATAAATGCCCTTCCCCAGGCAGAATCAAAAGCAGATAGGGCAGTTGGAAGCCCCCAAAGGAGGGCCAGAGGGTGGAGGGGGCTGAGGGTGCCACAGGCCTCTCTGCAGGCCCTCCCCTGGCCAGCCCACAGGCCTTCACCAGCTGCCCGAGGATGGGGGACAAGGGCCCATTGTCCTGAGTCAGGCACTTCCTGGTCCAGAGGGGGAAGGAGCAACCCAGCCACCAGCCCTTGTCCCTGGATCTGTTGGGCATGATGTGGGGACCTCTTCATGTCTGAGTCTCCGTTCCTGTGTCTGCCTCTGTCCCTGTTGTTTCCCTGTCCCTGGTTCTCCCTCAGATCCTCTCTCTCCTGGTCTTTCTCAGATTGCTGTGTCTGGGAGGGAGGAGGCCTGTTCCCACCACCCCCGGGTAGGCTCATCCCCTTGATCTCCATGAGGACTAGGGCTGGGGACACCAGGCTCAGGCAGAGGAGGGAGGGAGGAAAGAAGAGGCAAAGGAGCAAGAGAGGTGGGGACAGAACCAGCTTTATTCAGCAGAAAACTCAGAGGGCAGGCAGGGCTTCCATCTGCAGAGGGGACCAGACCTGGAAAGGAGGGAGGGGAGAGAGGGGTTTGGGAGAGAGAGAGTGAGGCACACAGAGAGAGTTGGGCTGGGGGCCACAGAGATGGAGAGAGATGGGATGGGGGAGACAGATAGGGTGGAGGGAGACAAAGGTGGAGAGAGATGTGGTGGTGGAGACAGAGATGGAGAGAGATGGGGTGGGGAGAGACAAAATGATGGAGAGAGTTGGGGTGGGGGACTGAGATGGAGAGAGATGGGATGGGGAGATAGAGATGGAGAGAGATGGGGTGGGGGTCACAGAAGGAGAAAGATGGCTGGCGTGGGGGAGACAGAGAGATGGGTGAGGGGAGACAGAGATGGAGAGAGATGGGGTGGGGGGGACAGAGATGGAGAGAGATGAGGTGGGGGAACAGAGATATGAAGAAAGATGGGATGGGGGGACAGAGAGGTGGAGAGAGATGGGATGGGGGGAGACAGAGAGGTAGAGAGAGATGGGGTGGGGGACAGAGATGGAGAGAGATGGGATGGGGAGACAGAGATGAGAGAGATGGGGTGGGGGGAGACAGAGATGGAGATAGATGGGGTGAGAGGACAGAGATGGAGAGAGAGATGGGATGGGGGGACAGAGAGATGGGGTGAGGGGCGACAGAGATGGAGAGAGACAGAGTGGGGGAGACAGAGAGATGGG